ACGGCGGCACGGCTCGCTGTCGGCATGGCGTGCTCGGGGCCTAACCCCAAACGCGAGTTGCGTTGTTACCCAGCTGCCTTGTGTCTCTGAAGGCTGGAGAACTGTTCCCTCCCATAGGCCGCTCCACAGAGGTTGTCTTTTGGGGAATTAAAAAAAAAAAAAAAAAACCTCTTGCTTAAAAACACCAAACAGAATTGAACAGAAGTGGGTTTTTTATTTTTTGTTTTTTAAGCAGTTAAAGGAGTAACATTTTAGTACGCATTGGATAACCATCCAGCATGGAGATCACGGGATCATCTTTGATCCACCACCCCTTAGAGCGTATTGCACTACTAGCTGCCTCTAGAGGAGCTAAGTTTCATGACACAAAAAAATAACCAAGTAATAGAGTGGGTTACTTCTATTCGATTGCTTTTTGGTCCCTGATGAAATTTGATAAATGAAGTCATTGGTAGCTATTTAAAAATAATGTAAGACCCTCATGAAGTCAAACTTGCAGCTTCAGAGATTTATCTTCCTCTCTACTTAATGTCTGTTCTTTCAACTCCTGTAAATCCCTTCTGTTACCATAAATTAGAGGGCTGTTTTGCTTATTTTAACCTTATACTTTTTTAAACGTAGAAAAGCTGAGATCAAGGCATCTTTTTTTTAGTGATAATTTAATTGATCATTTTTCTCCTGTATGTATTTACATACAAGTGCAATTAGTGTTGGCGTCTAGAAAACTGCAGTTCTTAAGTGACAGTATTACACATGTAGATTTGCTGAGGTTACGAAGCCTAACTGTGAGAGTGACAATGGCCAAAAAACGTAGTCACTTGATGCAATGTGTTGAAGCAGAATAAACTTGTTATATCAGATTAAATTTGGTAGAAGAACTTGCCAAGTTAACTCTCTACTGGCACACTTGATGTTGCATCAGGTATTGTCTGCCTGCATGTCTCTGGCTTCTTGCTGGGTTAAGCGTCTTTTGCCTTTCTGAAACCAATGTAAAAACATAAAACTGGCATAAACTCTGTATATTGTGAATGGCAGTCTATAGGCAGACAGTCTGCCTAATTTGACAGAGATGGTTGGTTGCCTAGGTGTGATCCGGATGTAATTTGAACCAGCTGGTGAGTGTGCATTGCACAGTCCTAGTATTAGATCATAGTTTCAAAATTGCTGATATCAGCTACTTAACTAATAGTTTAAAAATTGCTCGTTTATCAAATTGGGGTAGTATCTTTGGCAAAGGAGTAGAACTTTTGTGAAGTTTTATGTAGCTTATCTTTTTTATTTTTAAATCATTTCACAGCTATCAACTCTGAATCTTTTCTAACATCTATAGCTTGGTCAGTGGCAGCTTAGAGCAACGTACTGAATGGGCATGTGTGGTGGGTTTTTAGTGCAGCATAAAGAGATTTAACTGCAAAATTATAATATTATTGATGCACTGCAGCTTAATCATGTATCTTTGACACAGTATTGTAACCCCCCTAGTCCAGGACATGCAGTTCATTTGTCAGAGGATCAGTACTTACTAAAAACCAGCCTTATGGATAAACTTGGGCTTGAGTAAGTGTTATTGTCACGCACATACTCAGCAGCCTTTATTTATCTATCAAAAACATCACTGGGAGCTATTATGAAATCTTATTAGAGCTTATGATAAATGATATTTTCGTCTGTTTCTCTATACTATTGATAGAGTAGATCAGATCAATGTTTGGTGTGAATTGAAAGGTAGAAACAGAAAATGTTAACAAATTTTTATTTTATTTAAAGTATTTATCTGGCAATGTTGCTTATTCTTAAAATGATCTCAAATATCAGTACTTGAAAAATTGAGTTAAGCTTGATCTTAAAACTAAAGGATTAATCTGCTCATTCTTCAAATGTCACAAGAAAACAGATAGTGTAAGTGAGGAAGGACAGAGAAGGTACTGAAGGGCCTGTAAAATGTATTGGATTCTCGCAGAGAGTATGGAATAAACTTTTGGCCCCTTGCTTTTAGTAATTTACATGCTTACATAAGCTGCACTCCGTTTATTGGGTACTCTGTGTTCATTTTATAGATTATCAGTCACTTTTTATCAAGGCATTTTCAAACAAAAATAAAAATATTCACCATTTCTTAATATTAAAATGCTTTTGTTTATATTCACTTTTGTTCTTTTCCTTCCTATACCCTATTGCAGGGAGTCTTTCTCTGAACTCTCTGTACTGCTTATTCTGTCTTGTATATGTTTGTGTGTGTGTGCGTGTGTGTATCTATTTTTTTAATCTATCCTGGTATTTTTTTCCCACTGCTTCTCCTACCATACTCTATCTGCTTTATGCATGTCCTCTCCCCTAGGACATAAACTTGTTATTTATACGCTGGGTTATGATTGTCTGAGACTAAATCCACCAGCCTGCACCCAATTAAATCCAGAAGTAACATTTATCCAAGGGTAATACTAAGGTGAACGCTTTTTCCGAGTTCCTTTGTGGGCCTCCCTCTTTCACATGAGTTGCTAGCTAATTGATGCCAGCTGTCTGATTATGAAAACATGCATTCTTCCCTATGTGCTGAAGAACATGTCAGTCTTTAATCGCTGAGAGGGAGAAGAAATTCCTTTTGCTGCTCCAGGAGTTTCATCTCCTCAGTTCTACCCACCCTCAATTTCAGTATCTTCTGTTCATTGCCTTGGGTCAATGACTACTTCTGCAGAGTGTAGCATCTCTGAAATGGCTGTAAATTGCCCGGAAGTCTGAAAGCAGCAGTGAAAACTGTGTAGAACCGTTAGGGCAAAATCAAGAGATACCTAGATACCCTGTCTAAAGAGTAGGAAAGTGATGATAAATGTTTGAAAAGCTTTTCTTTTCTGGATGGTGAGATCTAGAAGCTATTTTCTTTAAATGACCGGAATTAGGTTAGGGAGTGGGAAGGAAACTAAGAGCAAGATATTTGCATAAATAGATTGTGGTTGTTGCTCAAACCTTACACATACCTTTGGAGCAAAATTTTTCGGCAAGGTATGCAACTGCCATGGTCATTTGAAACTAAATAAGATGTTTGACTTTCTAGGAGTTTTATTCTGAAATGAGAAAATTCTGGCCATTAGATTGGGCCTGTAGATATGACTGATTTTGGAATATTCTACTGTATTTTTGTATGAAATTGGGCTTAATTAATTTCTAGCCAAATGCTGAGAAACGCAGCCATAGGTTTAGGTTATATAACAAAGTTTAATTCTCCAAAATGCTGATTTTGGGGGGGAGGGGGGGAGGGCGATGGGGATGTGTAGTCTTCGATTTTTTGTTTGTATTTTTGGCTTTTTTAGAGAAGAGCCTCTAACTCTGTCTTGAGCTTGTGAGAAAGGCATTTTGCCATGAAGAATGCAAATTCAGAATTTGTATATGGCAATAGAAATGATGTCACTGCACTGAAATGCTAGAGTGCTTGCAGTAGGTTGTGTTTGTTTTTTGGCAACAGGGTTTGGTCATTCTGACTGTACTGTAGAATATACCTAATGAGAGCTCTTGCTAACTAGTTTCTCTATATGTGAAACTAACTGGTAATTTAAGGTTCTTTAAATTTATACTGACACTTCATGTTTGACTATGAACTGTGAGACTGGTGAACTAAACTTGGGCTGGGTTGGCTTGTTGCAACCTCACTCAGCCTAAAGTTGTGAAATAGCTTTGAATAGATGTTCAGTGCTAACAGGACCAACAAGTTCATAGTGACATCGTAAAATGTATCACTTTCTTCTACTGTCCTTCTTTGTTTAGGTTCTCTGATTCAGATTGTCTTTGTTTAGACTATTTATTTTTAATAAATAGTCTTTTACAAGCTTTTTTTTTTTCCTTTTGACAGTACTTTTTATGTTAATTTCTTTAAGGAGTCAGATGCTACTCCTTACTAAAATGATTCAATGAAAGTAAATTTATACCTGTCAGTTTGCAAAACTTTTAAAACTTAAAAAACTTTATTATGATGTTAAAATAGTAGGCTTGAGCTTCACATCTGTTCTTAGAGGACCATGGTCATAAGTTATTAAAATAACTTACTTTTGTTGCGTGCAGTCATGGCTGATTCATGACTTTTTCTGCTCTGGAGATTTTGTTTTGAGGTAGAACTTGTCATAGACACCTAGAGGGAACTGGAATGTTTTCTTTGAAAGGAAAGTCTACACATCACTTTCCTGAAATGTTATAGTTATTGTTAAAAACAATTACGATATGAAGGAATTAGTTCTAGACTTAACTTGCTGATACGTGTGATCTCTGTGTAGACCCCTTCCAAATCCTCTCCACCAACTGGCAACAGAAGCAGGACATCTTCATTTACAGATCAGAATGATGAAGGCACTTTAACGCCAGACAAAGAGGTCAGTTGAGAACTGTTTTTCCTATATTTGTTTTAACTTTAACATTTCACAAATATAACTATATGTACTTGGTTAGCCTTTTTTATCAGTCTCACTATTTCCTGTCCATTTGTACATTTGAATAGTCTCATTTTTAGATTAAATCACAGTATGTTTAATATTACCAAAACAGACCTTTTAAGCTGTAGTGACTGACTCCCAGATTAGGAATTTCTTTTATGTCCTTCTCCAGGGTTTAAAAATCATACCCCCTCAACTAAATGCAATAAGGTAGAGGGAGAGAAGTTACATTCGGAGAGTAATTTTTGTTCTTCTTACCTTTTTATCATTGAGAAGTTGAAGATCCTACTAATGCTAGAGGTCGTTTGGTGGAAGCTGGGCTAATGGCCTAAGCCCTTCTGAATGTGTTTCTAACTATACCAGTAGTAATAATCTAATTAAAAAAAAAAAACAAGCAGAAACAAACTGAGCCTACATTATCAAGTCTACAATGTTATTAAGGTCACTTTCTGTCAGGACAATGGATGACAATGACTTGCGTGCTACAGCAAACAGGGTCAATATTTCCTAGTCATCTTTACTCAGCTTGAGTACTAAGGCTTTGCTGAAATGATCTGATTTAAAAAAAAACCAACCAACCAAACAACAAAAAAATGTGGCTTAGTGACATGTATAAAAATGGCAGGTGGAATAAAGCAGGGAGCTGTGTCAGAGGAAATCTTGTTCCTAGCTATAAAAAATGAATTTTCTGGGTTTTGAGTAAAGGGTTGTCCTTCCTGCAGTGGGCCCATCTACTTACGTTTCTAATATCTCATTTTCTTCAGGAAATAATCAGTGATATCTGAAATTTCTCTTATGCTGTAATGGACGCTGCTAGTGATTACAGCATGGCTGTTTGTTCCTGCAGTGATTTTTAGAAACAGAAAGGAAGACTGTCCCGTGGTGTGGTTTTATGCTTTTGAAGTATGCTTTGCAATGTTGAGTCTTCTAATAAATGCTTTTTTCCTTACTGCTGCTGTATCTACAGAATGACTTCCCTCAGGCCCTGGTGGGGGAGGTTTTCTGTTAGCTGATGCTCATAATGTTAGCAAGCAGTGTCACCCTTGATAAATTATTAAGTATATCAGCAAGGAGAGTGTACTTTTTTTTTTCAGGAAAAACAAGCCTGCATTTCTATTATTAATGCGGAGCACAGAAGTGGCATATTGCCTCATGATGCAGTCTAGAAGGAAGAAGTTGGTGATGAGAATCCATGGCATCAGTGACCAGTGCAAAAAATAGAGACTCCTTACTTGTTTTTAATGCATGTCAGTAGTAGAACGGCAAAGGTTAAAGGAATGATTTGGCCAAGGTTTTCAGACTTTTTAAGCAACCTGAGCTTAGTAGTATATGAAATAGTGAAGCCGTGAGACACTGAATGATGTTTCTGTGTGACTGATTCACTGTTTTATCTGTCATTGACTTGGCACTACCTACGCAGCAGAAAAATGTTTCTCCTTTTGCAATAGGAAATAGTAAGGGGAAAGATTAAGCTATGACACTCGTCATCCCTTTTACTCCACAAATAGCAATCACTTTTCTGCTCAGATGGTGTAACTCACACATTGAGTCAAACTTGGAACTTTTCCTTAACGGATATTTAGTTTTGAGGGTGGTTGCTTTTATTTCAGATCTGAAGAGGGCTTGTGTATCTGAAAGCTTATTGTCTTTTCCAGTTACGTCATTTGATTCAATAGAGGATAGTATCTCTCTTCACAGTCCTTTCCTCAGTTTTGTCACTGGATCATCATGAGCACAGAAGGACTATTCTGATAACATAGTATTTTAAAAAATAAATGTTTGCAAATCCTGTTGAACTCTACTGATGTATTACCTGTATGTTTAAGTGCTACTTGCATTCTTCTTCATTTCTGTGGATTTTGTCTTACAGTGCTTCACTTGACTTACGTTGCCCCAATCTGTTTTTTCTAGTATGCTTTTCCAGACAAACAGGAGAAGCAAAGGATTCCCCACAGGACGTGCCAAGTTATGTTGGAAGAACATTATCATGCTCTAAATACAGTCTCTACACTTGGAACAGTCAGAGGGGGAGAGAAGGAGAAATAAGATTAAGAATGGAAACAGTACTAAAGTAATCTCAGATTTACAGTTATCCCTGAGCTTAGGGAGCTGCTAGAAGAATTTTACTCCTGAAATACAATCTGTAATTAAAAATTCAGAAAGCAGTTTGCTAAGGAATGAAAATCTCCACTTTTTAGTAAGGGCTGTTGTTATGTCAAATGGAAAGTTTTACTAAATTAAAGATAAATTAAAATGATCAAGACGTGAAAGCTTCTCCAAATATTCTTTGTCAATGTTAACAGAATGATTAAAAGCAAATCATCCTTGAAATGTGTTTGTTGGATTGGATTTTCATAAAATTCAGTTCAGTGACAGTAATTACTCTGTTTAAAAAACAGGCAGATATATATGTATTTTTCCAGAGACACTGTCTCTGAAAATGTATGCCCTGCTTATATGGGAGGGTTATGTCTTTTTGGGGAGGCATTCCTTTCAAGCAGTATTCTTGTCTGTTCAGATAGATATTTTAATGTACAGTTTTCAGTGGAAACGGCATTATAGTGAACTAAATTTGGACAACATTTAATACACTTAAAAACTTTGATTTTAAAGAGTATCATATCCAGAATGTTTCTGCAGTAAGCGAATTGTTGCTAACCCTTTTGGTGCTGAAAGCTAAACAAAATAGTGACAGTTATGTGGTGCTTCATAGTTCTTGTTTGTGTTTTCTCTCTTCCCTCTGCCCTCCATCTCTTACATTTTATTATGTCCCTAATAGATTATGTTTTCAGATTCTTAGTGCTGTAAGATCTAAGTTGCAAGTTCTGCATGAGAACGCTTTGTTTTAAACTGAATATTTTTAGAATAAAAAATGTTTCAGAGTGAAGGAAAATCTTAATTTTTTTTTGAGCAGATTAATGCTGTCATATTAAACAATATGCAGATAAGATTTTTTTTTTTTTAACGGATAAAGTTTTGAAATTTTGAGAAACTTACAGCTTCATTCATGAAACACTTGCATAAGCTTGTCTTTTCTCTGCCCACTTTCTTCTTCACCTTCTATTTTGGTGGAGCTGTGGGTCTCCAAAGAGGCAATGTTATAGAGAAGCTCATAATTTTTTCTTGTGAAAAGGAACAGCAGAGGGTCTGTCTAGTTCTATACTCTTGTTTTTGACAGTAGGCAATAACATATGACTGGAGTGGGAGGTAAAAGCATATACTGCTTCTTCCCCAAAACTTCCAAGAGTTTGCAGCTCAGATGCTTCCTGAGTCAGTCTTGGTGTCATTTTCTGAAACAGCCCCAGATGATTAAAACTTGCTTACTTTCTGCTATTTCCAGTCTTTTCTGGGAAAGGATAGTGTTTGAGTTTCAAACTTTTAATCTGTTACTGTGTTGACTCCTGAACACAGTTCTAAATGAAATAAATTGGTCGTATTCAATATAGTTTCTAGAAATTTGAGATTTTATTTTTGTTCTGTAATATATTTATTTACAAGACTTGCTTGTCTGCAGAAGATTACAAGCCTAGTTCTGAGCCACTGACTGAAAGTAAAGAGCTGATGACTTGCTATAGATGACTTGTCAGTCATGCGAGTCCAAATGTCACTCACATGCTCACAAGTGTTACAGAAGAGACAGCAGAGCACAATATGTATATATAGCTCTTCTTAGAGCTAAAGATAAGCTAGCAATGTACTCTTCAGTCTTACTTTAGTGCTACATAATGCCTGTGTTTTTTAAATGAAACCTTTTTTTGGGGTGGGCTAATAAAGCAGGGCAAATGAAATGGGAAACAAATAATCTAAGAGATTCTTCTTTCAGCACCTTTGCTAATGCTGCATCTTTCGTTTATTCATGCACTTTGAAGTACTTCTAAATAGATAGGGATATGCAGGGGTAGTGGTGTTTCAAATGTTAGTATTTTTTTCCTTTTTAACATGCCAATTTAAAACTTTAGTTTGGGAGGCTGCATATTTTAGCTTTTATTTAAAACCTGGATTTTATAAATCTTGATGCATACACAGGCATGTTTTAGATTGCTTATCAGAATGAAAAATAAATCAGAAAAGGCTTATGTTTAATTAGGTGTTTCCTTTTTCTGAAAATTATAATGCAGCACTCTCAGATTCTATGGTTTTACTTTTTTTTTCTTTAATTGCAGAGAGAAATCTTGAACTTTTAGTTCTTTCTTCAGTTTTTCTTATTCCCTGAACACAGAACGGATTCATACATCAAAAAAAAAAAGTTACGTATTGCACAAAATTTACATACCTACATAAGGTCAGCAAATCACTGAATTGAATGCATTTCCTAATATTGACAAATACCCAAAAATATGTTTTAGTGTATGGAATGAATTTCTTGTCAATAAGAGCTGAAACTAAACCTTTGGCCTGGTAGCTGACGTCCCCAGTTTCTTGAACTGTGAGCAACTGATGAGTGAATACTAGCTTTTCTCTTCAACAAGCTTACAGTTTAATACCTTTCTCTCTGTCTTAGTGTGTTTGTACACAGCATAGCAAGTTGTCCACATCAATTATAGAAGCTTTTAGGTGTTCAAATGCTACAAATGCACATGTACTGTGTGCTGACATGGGATTAGTTAAATTTTTGCACGTTCTGTATGTTTCATGGATGCTTCAGCCTAGGTGGATTCTCTGCTTTTGTAGCTGTGTCGAACCTGTTATCGGGTGGAGTGCTAATGTGGATTTTAGTGATATATGAGACAGTATAGCGCCAGATAGGTTTAGTTTGTCTCGAGTTACTAAGGTAATTCAGAGTGGTTTTAAAGCCAAATCCTGACGTGTAAGAATCCTCTGGGGAAATACTTGCATCTATTTCGTTTTGACAAACTAGCTTTTTTTTCTTGCCTATTTTCCAGTCATAGGTGAATCATGTCTGGTGTTTTGGAGACTTTTACCAAAAAAAGGAAAAAAATAGTTAATTTGCAAGCTAGTATTAAAGCCATACTGAAGAGTTAAATTTAAAAAATGCAGCTAAAAACAGGTGTTTATATTGGAAAGTGTTAGGTAATGTAATTATAGAACTCATTAGACAGCTCTGCCTATAATAAGGCTGTTAAAATGTAGCAGATAATGAGCTGCTGGAGAACCAAAATGCTGTAAGCAACTACTTAAATATTTTTGTTTGTGGGCCCCCAACACCTGAGAATGGAGGATGAACTTACTAATAAGAAGATAAAACCAGTTCTAAACGTGCTAGGCAAATACCATTCCTGGACCGTGATTGAGCATACTCTGCCTTAGATAGCTGTATGACGTTTGAAGCTCTTCTCATGGCTACTGAGGAGGAAATATCTTGCAATTTCATATCAATTACTGCATTTCCTCATGCGGTATTGTTGTCTTCTGCCCTTTATTCATGGGTTTGGCTCCTTCTCTTTTGTGCTTGCCTTGTCTTTTTTGCAGTAGACTCAAGCAACAGCAGAAAGAAGCTGAGATGGTTTAGTGTCATCCTTGCTTCAGGGTTCTCAGTAGCATCTGTGAAACTCAACAGTAGCGTTAATTGTTTTCTACTTGTTTGTGTAAACTATTTTTTTTTTAATACAGACCCTGGAGTTATATCTCTGCAAACTCAAGCAGTACTGCATCCATTTATATTCATAAGTTTTTTTTTATTTTTCTTAAAACTGTAACAACTATTAATGTGGACTAGAATATTTTCAAAAGCTGGTGCCTTGAATCTCCTGGTCTTGCTAAAGAGGGTTTATATGTATTCCCTTACAAACTGCCTACCAAGCACTATGAGTAGATTTTAAAAATTAACTCCTTCCTTTGTTTAAACCTCCTTGTCTTCTTATCCATAAGGTGTTTTTCTATTAACTGTTTAAGACTTTTACTGTGTAACACTCCTGTTAGAACTTGGTTGCACTGACACAGTCATTAACCAGAGGGGATGGATGCAAATGTAACACTTCACAGATGCTGAACATACTGACAATCCAAAGTTTTTATTTTAGATGAAGAATAGCTTACTAGAGATAAAATATGAATTTTTTAATACAAATTGCTTGATGTACTATTTAATGGAATTTGGATGAAGTGAAATAATGCTATGGTGATATTTCACTACTTAATAATTTGAGAAGCAAACATTAGCATACTGTTACTGTGAAGTGATAATTTGAACCATCTGTGATTCCTGAAATTCTTGACAGTCACGTTTTTAAAATAAACTGACTTAACCAAGAAGAAGAAAATATATGTTACATCTTGAAAAGCCTCATAACCCTTTGGTTAATAGTATTTGCTGTAATCTGTTTACAAGTGCCTTGCAAATATTGTTTCACCATCTTAACTGATCTTGTCTAAACATACAAACAAAGTAATTTTTGTCTTAAAGATTTCATCAGCGTTTTGTTTGTGTTTGAGAATTTACGTACTTAAAATGAAGCCTGATGGCCTCATGAATTAGCATATTGCTGTTGTATGTTCGTATGCTTGTGTATACATAATATTTGCTGTTTCTCTTCTGGCACCTAACCTTTCAGAAGTGCATGTGTGAGATGCAAAGCATGGCCAAGGTTATAAGCTTCTACAGCCACCATCCCATGCAAAGACCTCCTGGAAGAAGAGTTTTATTAACGCTTTTCTTGTCAGCTTCTTTATTTTTTTCTTGTCTAAAAGGTCAGATGAGGAAAGAAACTACTAGGGTTTTACATAGCTGAATAAATCTACAGAGGGAGCTTTAACACAACTTACTCTTGTGAAAAGTGTAGGTGTAATTCCTACCCGCTTCAGAGTGTGGATTGAGTTTCATGTTATTCTTCATTGATCTGATTGTGGGTTAATGCTGCAAGGGGCAGTCCCACTTTCAACCAGCAGGACCTCTGCCTCGCTCTCTGTCTGACCATATGATTGTGTGTCAAATCATTGATCTGATAGAGGAGTTGGTCATCTGGCAGGTTGGGAGAGGGGAGTGGTGAACAATCTGACCAAACTCAGCATGTGGTTGTAATCACAGTGGAGGGAATGGGCAAGTAAGGCCAGGCATATGGGAGGGAGACTGGGGGCAGGAAGAATGGGAGCGTCTCTTTCGGTAGCAGCCTGTGTTTGTAGGAGGTTGAATGTGAGAGGAAGTTTCACCAGAGTTTCTCGGACCTAGCTAGTTCTTGACAAGTCATCAAGCAAGCTATGGGAGCGTTCGTTCTTCCAGCATTAGGAACGCCAAGAGCAGAGAAGTTTATGATGGAAGTCATAATTAGTCACCAGCAGGTTGAGAGGTAAAACTTCAGCATAAATTTTAGAATTAGTGCTGTGCAGATACCTTGTCCTTGAAGACAGTTCACAATGTTGTGCGCGTGTGTGGTGAGGGGTGGCTGGCAGTGAGCCAAAACTTCTCTCCCGTTGTAGCTCTAGAAGATCTGACAAAACTAGCAAGATTCTTCTGAAATGGATTTGCGTATTAGGAGTACATACACGATATGGTGAATCAAATAGGAGACGACAAAAGCACGATGTTTAGGTTTGTGTTTTCCTTTGTTTTCTGCAGGATCAGTAAGTTAGGTTTTAGCTGCACGGGTTTTTAGGTAGTTATTTTTCAGTGTATTACATTAGAGAGTACATTAGAGAATACATTAGAGATTTGTTTTTCCCCCTGACTGAAAGGGAGTTAGTGCTGATGTTTGGAGATCGTGTATGGCTGTCAGTGAACGTTATGCACTTAATGTGTTTTCTGAAAGTGCTTAGTAGACAAAGTGTAAACCATGTAGCATTCCAGATCATCTTGCACATCAGAATACTTTTCTTTTGACTGCATAGTTTACCTGCTGGAGCACTGGAGTGAATGTAGCACTTAAGACTTAAACCGTAATTTGTTTTACCTTAGAGTTGATTCTTAAACAAAAAATATATGTATTATTTAGTAAGTTGAAATTTAAAAAATTGTTCTGAAGTAATGAGAAAGAAAAGCCATATCATGTTTTGGTTCATTCAGCAAAGAGCACAATTCTGAAATCTCAGACTGTAAGAAAGTTGAACTTGGGACTTTTGTGTGTAAGGTAAAATCATGAAAGAGTAGTATTTCCAAACCGGTTACGGCATTCTAATTATATTACATTGCATGTATATGTCCCATTTGAATTCAGATTCAAATTTGTTTTCCTCTTCATGTTTTTAATTTCTAGGAATTAAAGTCTCTTCTAAAATGTTTTGATAAAAAGGCTAATTCAACTTGGGGTGGTGTTACAAAATAATAATCTGCTAGTGATTTGAAAAGTTTTGTAAGGAAGAAATTTCATATTTTGTATGAAGTTGGAATTCTAGTGTTTAAGAGCATCAGAAGAGAAAGACAAATATCCCAAAGCATGCACTTGATATCGTTCATTGTGTAATTGAAATACTGATAGAATTTTTGGAATGATGAGTTCTTCCATGCATAACTTTTGGGAGCGACAAAGGCTCTGTGGTATGCAAAAATAAGTCATCCACAGATGTTTAAAAAATCAGTGTCAATGTGTGAAACACTTGTTTATCCTGGGCTATTCTAGGATCCTTTTTTTTTTTTTTTATTGCATGTTTCTTTACCTCCAGATGATCAAAAACTACATTTTGGCTGTTCTGAAGTGAATGCTCTAATGCCTGTTTTCTGGTTATGTCTTGTCTTTATCAGTATTTGTGGTTTTATAAACGGCTCTATCTTTTTACAGACTTTTTAGTAGTGTGGAGAAATTGAGTAAAATTGTACTTTCTTTATCTTACTACTTGTTTGATTTTCATTTTCCTACTTTTTGCATTGAATGACAGCTGCTAGCCGGGATGATAGCAGAACCCGCTTTTCTCTCTGAGTATACTATCTTTGCTTTGGATCCCACCAAACAACCTAAACCACAGAGTGACGGTGTGGTGAGTCCTCCAACCCCTCTTAGCGATGCTTTTAGCAGGGGGAGGAGAGTACTGTACTAGAAGGCAAATCTAGTGTTGCTTGTGGCTTATCCTCACAGAGGCATCTTAACTACCCTGTTGCTAACCCTGCACTAAATCTCATGGAGGTAGTAACTGATAGCTCCTGACTGGTGTGCTGTATGATACGAATTTATCGTAACATAAAAAAATTAACACACTTTCTGTTACACAGGAAACCATGCTCTGCCCAACTTCTAAATAAACATTGCACAAGTTTGTAAGTTTGTTGCTTAGAATTTATTAATACTGTTGAAAGTCTTCATTTTTATGTATGTCTTTATGTATTTCAAGATAAATGGATATTAAACACTGAGACTATTTCTTTATCTAGAGAGGACGTGCTTTTTTTGCTATGTTCAGTGAAAGCCTCTCAATGTTATTTACCAGTAATGGTAGCAGGAAATCTTTATCTTATGTAGACATTGGCATGCACCTACTTCTGGGTGGCTATTATCATGAGGGTAAACAATTCCCGTTCAAAAGCATTTGATTTTATATTAAGTATGTATTTCTTTGGGAATGCTGTTGGCACAGTATGCAACTGGAGAGGCTTGGTGAGAAGAGACCAAGGGCAGCGGAGAAGGAGCAGGCACAGCAAGGAAGGCTGGCTGCTGGCTTGTCCCCCCACAAATGCACACGCAAAGCCATCTCTTCTTTCAGCTGTTCTCGCCGAACTGGGATGGCGGCCTTCGCATGCCTCGAAAGCGTAGCATTCCTGAGTGCATTGTGATTGGAAACACAGTGGTTTATGTCGAGTCCCAGGTCATCCTCGTACTTTGTTGTTACTTTGTTTTTCCAAACTGGCACGTGCTTTCTCGCTGTCCTGCAGAGGCTGGAAATGACAAGTCACTGAAAGCTGTTAAGAGGGTAAAAGATAGATAAGGAAATGGAGATAGCGTAACACACCGTGATGTGTTGAGATTGTCTCTTCCAAGCTAAAGAAGACTGGACTGGAACAGTGCTGATAAAGGTGATCTGTGGAAAGTCTTCAAATATGCTAAAGGATTAAGCTTAGATAGTGTGCAGTTACTGTTGAGCACAGATTCAGTACTACTAGCTCAGTCGTGACGCTTTCAAGATTGTTTCTTCTGATGAGCAGAGTGAACATTCAGCTTGTCCTGAAAAGTGTAGTTATGAAACATTTAGTAGACTTTTATCAGTTTCTCGGTATTTTAACCATATTCCAGGTCTGGTGATTACTATTTAAAGTTTCATTTCAGATGCAGTTTTTTCGTACACTTACAGCTGTGAACAATTGCATGCTGTTTTCCAGTATGCTGCAGGATATCTCTAATACAGTTGAATTTTGAAAAATATATTTCTGTGAATGCTCAAATCTCGCCTTTGTGTTCTGTTAGTACGCACTTTAGTGGCAGGAAACTGGCGTATTTGTATGTAGGACTGCACGTGTAGGAAATAATTGTAATGTTGCAGAGTTATATAGGCGTTATAAGAGCTATAGTTAAATTGTTACCAATGTGTATTAATAAGATGGAATCTGTAAAACTTTGCTTTTCTCTGAAATGTTTAAGAGCCCTTCAGCTGTGCTCTCGTGCTAAGAAAGGGGGGGGGAGGGAGAAAACTGGTCAGAAAAGTTCAGGAGGAGTAGGCGGGATGATTATGTTGCCTGAGAAATGTAGGTGTACTGAAGAGGAAGGAGGCTGAATGTTTAACCAACACACACAAACATATATGAATAAATTTTACTAAAACAGTACTGTAGCCGTGTGTGTGTGCGCAAGGGATGTATAATCCAAGAGAGCAGGCACCATAGAGAAGTGGCTGAAATTGTGGGGTTTTTTGGTATAGATGAAGTTAGTGAAGAGCTTTTACTAGCTAAGCTGCTTAGGTTTTGTTACATGAAGAAACACAGTTCAGATGTTCTTAGACGGAGAGTTTTTGTTACAACTATTAAAAGAAAATGAGGGGAGAAAATGCATACTAAACTGTTCTTTTTCCATAATTTACTCACGGTCTTGGAATACCTGAGAGGGAGGGAGGAAGGAAGAGCAGTAAAATATATTTTAAAGGCTATATTAAAATAGCATATATTGATATTTAATATAACTAAATATATAATTGATTATACATTTGATATTGATATTTAATACATATTAATGCATACTAGTATTTTATTAAAATATTCCACTTTTTAGGCATGTGAATGTATTCATACCTTTGAGAAACACATGCTAAGATATATTAGTTCGCATACCAGGAATAGGGAGGTCGGGAAGCACAAGTGTCACTAGGATGCCCTAGTATATTCCAGATAAAATTGAGCTCTGTTTTATGCATCTTAATAACAAAAGGCATCCTTTTAATTAAAGATTGTAGATATGTATCTATTTGGATGCAGGTATAGTTGTCATGTACATTTTATGGATCCGTGGAGGAAAGACTTTCGCCGGTTTCCAGGAAGCCTGACATAACTGTACTGATTCTAAGAGCTTCAAAATGCCAGCCAATGCTCTGTGCTTCCAGTATCACTGAAATCAAGCATCTCTTCGGGCTTATGGTAGGCTAGGGCTCTGGGGCTCTTCAGAGCCTCATAAATTCATGCTTACACAGAGGAACTTCCATTCACGCTCGCCTTTCACTTTATGGACGTTAGAATATGACCCTTCCCCCTAGAACGCAGTGAAATAAAATTACAGGAACTAGATAACGTGATGGTCCCGTTCTCATAGAGAAGATTACCAATTTATCCTTTTTTGTGGTTTTTGCTAACAGAAAATATAATCTAGTGTATAGGTTCTAGCATGTTTTACTACGTCAGTCTGACCTGGTTTAAACACTCGAAAGTTGGCTGGGTTTACACCAGTTAGGGAACGTCTGAACACGTGACATAGGAAAAAGTGGAATAGATAGACTAGGGACAGAAATATCTGAACTAGTACTATTAGTACTATAGTACTAATAAAAGTAATACTTGATTGCTTTCTGTTTTTGTTTGTTTGTTTGGGAGTGCAAAGGAATATGTGTCCAGGTTTACATAGCATGTATTTTCTGAAAGTCTAATTTCTTACTCTGCTTGTTTTGAACTGTAAACAGCCTGTTACTAGTGCTTTTTTCCATTTTTTTTTCCCCCCTTCCAAGTGTACTTAAATAGAGGAAAATATTGTGATTCCACAGTTTCTTATGTGGGCTATAAGCAATGCTGGTCATCAGTTAGACTTTTCCTGCTCTCATTTTGTCTTTGTATGTGTGTGTGTGATTTGTGAATAAATGTTACGTGAATAATCACTATGAATAATTCGATTGGAGATGCCAGCACTTGAAGGTGTCTCGTACCATACTAATCCACGCACATATAGCTGCTTTGTAGTTTTGTATCTTGCAGTCCGGTTTTGAATTTAACAAACTAGCTTGTTTGCATGAAATAAATCTTAATAAAAATTGAAAAGAAGGTACTAAAAACACAAACAAGGAAAAAGCACGGAGGCTGTTTGTAGAAATCAATGGAGCTGTCACTAGTCTGTTCCTTCTAAGACTTGTTTTTCCTCCCATAGAGCTTACCTAAACAGCCAGTTACCCGATCTACAGAAAACAATGGAAGTGAACCAGCCTCCCCACAGGTACGTATGGTTTTGTGTGTGCGCGCGTGTGTTGTGTTTTGCTGCCATATTTTCTTTGGATTAATTTTGCTTAAGTGCCCGGTGTACACCTTTATGCCGGAGTAGGGATGACAAGTACTTTGGCATGTTATTAAGATGAGATTTCCGATTAAGATTCACTAGACTATTCTCTCTCTGTGTGCGCGTACGTATAATACCATTAGCTGGTATTAAGTGCTGTTTGTGATATGTAGAGCCTTTTTTGTAGGTGCAGGTTAGCAGAATGTGCTGGCGTGGTACGGGTTGCTAGCCCTGTGCTGGCTATGCCTACGAGATACAGAACAGTAACCTTGCTTTCAACGAGTAGAGGGCGTATTGCATGGCTAGAAAGTTAATTTCTAGCTGAAGGAAAAGAATTAATAGGTTTGAAAAACGTTGTCATCAGTGATAAATAAGCGTGGAGGTCATTAATACATGTTTCAGAACTAGTTTAAGTTGCAGGAATGATATTAGCGTGCGCATAGTGTTACAATGTTTGATTATGTTGGCAACATCATGTAGTAGTGCTTTAAGGTCAATTCTGTGACACCTGTAGTATACAGTAGCATAATGTAGAAACTTCTGTTTTAGAACAAGTACTTTAATTGCATAAATAAATAAATAACTGCATTTTTTGTGGAAGTAGTAAAGCCGTTTAAAATAGAAAGAGAAAAGGACCATTTGAGATGGGATGCTAGAGCTAGGCATTGTACAAGGACTTTTACAATAAATCTGTTCCCACAGTCACAGGAAAGTATTTTTGTATCTTTGAGATAAATACAATCTTCTATTTAATACATCAGGAAATAAGTTACTTTTTTTCTAATTTGAGGGAACACTACATGCAAGTGTTAGTTTTCTTCTTTAGCTATGTTTTCTTTGCTTTTTAAGGGGGCTACATGGAAATATATTCTTTTAAAAGTCAGAGCTGGAGTTTATTAAATTTAGTTGCTGTCTGAAATTTCCCAACATCTAATAGTTGCATGCATGGTTGTTTTGAACAGAAAGATAATTCTTCTAAGGGAGTAGTTAGATATGTGGTGTCATGTGTATGCTGCCACGTTACGTGACCGTGGTTCTTTTGCCCAGGTCTGGTCTCTGTCTCCCTGATTTCTTAAAATATAGCGCAAAAGTAGTTGATTCCTTTGTTTTTTTTGCAGTCGGGCGACACTCAGTCTTTTGCCCAGAGGCTTCAGCTCCGGGTTCCTTCCATGGAGTCTTTGTTTCGAAGCCCCGTGAAAGAGTCCCTGTTCCGCTCTTCTTCTAAAGAGTCCCTGGTACGAACTTCTTCAAGAGATTCATTGAATCGACTGGACTTGGACGCAGTTGCTCCCACCTTTGATCCACCTTCTGACGTTGAGAGCGAAACAGAAGAGTCTCTGGGAAGTATGGACAGCCTCAGCAAAGAGCAGCTGCTGCAGCGGTTGCGTAGAATGGAACGCAGCTTGGGCAACTACAGAGGAAAGTACTCAGAGGTAGGCAGTGCTGTTCCCGGCTTAACTGCACGGAGAGACGCAGTTGAGGCCAACAGAGAACTGCAGCAGTGGATGATCTTTTTGTTTTGCTATCCATTACGAACAAATGGATCAACTCAGAGCTGGCATGAAAGTTTAATTATTGTTGTAAGTCTAGGTAATTTTGGCCTAGATAGGCAAAATATTTTTCTGGTGATGAAGTACAGAAATATTTTTCTTCTCTTTGTAAATAATCCCATGTTGTCCACAATATAATTAATTCATTAGTAGTTACTTTGTGAGAGCAGTTGCTTCAGCCTGTGAAGCTTACCGCTGAAGTCCTGTCCCAAGTGGTAGAGTTCAGTACAGAACTGAGCGTGACTTGTGGTCACATGACAGCAACTTTTACTTTGCTCCTGAAACCTGTTCTTGAAGTCTTCCATTTGTCTTGCCCTGCGTTTAACTCGGGAGTGCAGTTGCCCATCTTTCATCGTATTCTAGCTAGTGCCATCATTTGTGTAGTAGATGCACTTCTTAAAAAGCCTATGTAAACAGTGTTGCTTGAGTGACAGTTCTTCAGTAGTTGTATTTTTTAATAGAATCTGTTGAGCAAGTCTTATTTTTTTCCTCACAAAGATCAGTTGAGAGTTTCTTTAATTCTTTCAATTTGATTTGAAAAAACTGACTTGTTGGCGCTTGGGATGAAAATGGAATAAAAATTTAAGATTTAAAAATTCTTCTCTTTGCAAGTAGAATACACTTGAAAAAAGTTGACACTTCAATAGTACAGTGAGCAAGGGAAAACATCCATAGTTTTCATTTCCTTTTAAGAGCGAAATAAGTGTGACTTTGACATTAAAAGCAGCTTTGAATTCTGAAAAAAATATTTTTAAATGATGTTTTGAAGTATCTTTTGACTTAGAAGTTCTGCAGTTGTTGGTTTTTTTTTTTTAATTTTTCAGCAACTTGAAAAGGGTATACTGTAATTACAAGCTGCCACGATGCCAGTTCAGCTTTGCACAGCTTAGGCAATTGTGATCATATTTTTAATTAAACTAAGTTATGCAGTTGCTCATCAAGTCCTTTTGTAAGGTTACAATGAGAAATATTGTCCACTTCCAGTCTTTCTTTGTCTGCTGGGTAAAGGCAAAGCACATGGAATGAGAACATTCAGTATTACACAAACCGTTTTTGCTAGAGTTGTAAGTGTATTTTTTAATGCATTCTCATTTTAAAATTAACTTTAAGCTCTCTGGGACACATAAATTGTAAATTTGCACACGTTGGGTAGTTGACTGGAATATAACCTTCCGATACAATCATTTTTTGACCTATATTGAAGCATGGTTGTTCTTAGAGGTATTTCCAGTGAAGGGAAAACTGTGATTATGAATGCTGAGTAATCTAATTGTTTTGTCATGTAGGCTTTAATTATTTAACACATTGGAAGTATTTTTATAAATGGAAAAGCAAATATTGCACAAGAGAATTGTTTATGTATGTTTCTATCAGAAGAGCTTGCTCAAGTGAAGAGTTTGAAAATGCAGACAGTGATTTAACTAAGCAAATTATTTTGACAGCTGTGAGTGGATGCATTATCATCGTTATACTTGATTTCTGTATTTTAGCTAGTGTCTGCTTATCAAGTTATTCAGCGAGAGAAGAAAAAGCTACAGGTGAGCATTATTATTCGTCCTCTGTTATCTGAATGTTTTTCTGGGTCCTAAAATGTGTAGTGAAAATACAGATTTAATTTTCAGTGTATATTTTGTACATATGTTTATATAAGGTATGTGTGTATAATATAAATATAATGTGTGTGGGTGCGTGTGGGTGTGTTTATGTGTGTATGTATGTGTATTAAAAAAAAAAAAAAAAGAAGACACTTAGCTGGTCTAATATTGATCTATCCCAATAACTGCAGAGCTGTTGTACTCCAGCTTTTTTATCTCATCCTCTGAATTCAGGCGATGGTGCAGTGCCCACAGTTGGCAATTTGTGATAACACTTATACATCCAGTTTGACTAGGAAGATCATAATCATAAGATCATAAATTCTTGTGCTAAAAAAATTCTTTGTGGACTTACTTATATGTAAAGTTACATTTATTACATTGTGAACTTACTTATATGTAAAGTTACATTTAGTACACATGCATATAAACATTATTGTTCTTCCTTTTTAAGGGTATTCTGAGTCAAAGCCAGGATAAAGCACTCCGCAGAATTGGAGAACTGAGAGAGGTAACTCCATTTATTCGTTGAATATTTACTTCACACCACACGTAGAGCGAGGTTCTTTCTTTGTTTAACTTTTGATTTGTTTGTTTGTTTGCTTGCTTTATAGAATACTTTCTGTTGCACAGCAGAGGTTTTTTTGCCACTTTTCATTTGTTTATATCGAGTTATTTCTCTTGCATCTGTCTCGTTCAGCAGTTGCTGTCGTAATCTAAGACCGAACTGCTTTTTTGTTCATTGTAAAGTAGGTAGAAGTGTCTGTGGTTTTTGCAGTATTGTTGGCCCCAGCAGTGGATGTGGGTGAGTGATTTGTTGCTCTTTTAGTATTGAGAAATACTGACATTAGGCAAACATAAATAATAAGCCCTGTTAAAAAAGATTTTTATCATGGCTATCAAGTTCACGTTTGTTAGGATAAAAGTCATTTTTCAAATAAACATAACTTAGATGAGGTTGAGTAAATTGTTTTAAGGAATTTGCAGACTAGCTGGATTTCAATCATGGAATCATTTAAGTTGTTCTTCTCCTGAGGTTACAGTGAAACTGAGAGGAGACGCTCTAATGTATTTGGTATTGATAGCAAGTGCATTGCGCTTAGGAAGTGGCATGCACAAATTATTCGAGAGAGCAGTTAAAAGAGCCAGTTCACGAAAGCCAAATTAAAGTGAAGTAAAACCAAACACTGAAGCCACGTTACCACTCGGAGGACCAGAGCGGCATCCGATTCGGAGGCTGCTGCATCATTTTTTTTCCGCCGCAGGGAGCTGCCGCCCCTGCGCTTCCCCTCAGACAGCCAGCGATTTGCAGAAATGTTGCTGTCAAAACGTAGAGTGCTCTCCTGCATCCATGCGGGGTTGGATTCAGGTACGCCAGCTCTTAAATTTGTGCCAGGGTGGCGTGGCGGTTCAGATGCCGGCTGTTTCCAGCAGAAAACAGGCAGAAACATCAGAGGAGCGGTTGGGAGCGCTCCTCTGCCCCGGACACTTCGCATGGGCTGTAACCCTATCTTTGGCTAAACTAGCTGTCCGTAGACCTGTGGAAGGGGAAGAACCCACGGTATCAGCAACAGGCGACTTGTCAGTGTGTCTTTCCAGTTCAGTACGAGGGTCAAATATGAGAAACATGTTCTCTAAGTCTATAGCTATATGTTCTAGTAAGTGTAGTTTTCCACTCACTGGTATTTGGTAAAATTTGGAAGACATATATGTCCCAGAATTAAAACATGGTGATGAGGAGAAAGGATTGCATGTGTACCTTCCCCCCAACCCTTCTTCTTTAATAAGTTTTCTTGATATATTCTATATATAATCACTGCTGTAACTCAGCAACTCCTAAGAGCACCTCCTATTTCAAAATTCCTTCTACTGTTAAGTACAGACAAACATGGGGGATGACTGGAATTTGTTACAGTCAGGATATGTCATAAAGAGACACAGTTTAATCTGTTTCAGTATAAAAATAAAGTTCTTTATTATAAATACTGCAGATTTATAAGACTCTCCTAAATCTAAGACCAAAATTCTTTTCTACTCATTAAAAACCTCACAAAATAATTCCTTGTTCTTTTCAAGGCCCAAGTATTATACTGTTAACTAAAACCAACTTAAAATGAAAAATAATTTACCAATAAAACTGAGAGGTTTTCACTGTGGAAGCTAAAGTGCTAGAGAAGTGATCACTCGTGGATCATTTATTGTCACAGGTTAATTTGGAAAACCCTTTTATTTGTCGTACACTGTTTTTGCTCTAAATATTTTGAGTAAGACAAGCCTCATGTAAGAGGGCCGTGTAAGAGTGAGCAGTTTTCCCTGGGGATAAGTTGGCAGTGTGCAGCCGTCCCTGGAAGTGAACGTCTCCTTCGCTTGCCGTAGGTTTTCCCCATTGAGAGTAACTCTGCAGCGAGAATCGGTGGTATTCTGCTCCTCAGACGAGGATCAGAACGGACTTTCAGATCCAAAGAGGAATATTTCAGTGTTTGTTCCAGTAAATCTCTTTGGCCCTCGTTCTTGCCCTGAGCTTTTCTGCTTTGTCCTGAAGGCGTCGCTTCTAAAGCTCAGAAGCCCGAGGGAAGAGCGCGATCGGTTGCTCTTGAGAACCCAGGAGCAAAGCAGGGTTGAAAAGCCAACGTAGTTCCTTGGGCCGAGGGAGGACTGGTTCTCTCAGAAGTCGCCTCGCTGTGCTGTCCCGGCCCTGCGCGGCTGGGCGCCAGAGCTCCCACAGCTGCTGTGCTTTGTAGGCAGCTGCCCTGCTCAAAGCTGCCGTCAGGCACGGAGGGTCCAGGTATGGCAGCTGGCATCCGTCCTTGAAGGTAAGGGATGAGCAGTAAGGCGGCACAAAAGCGAGATTCGGAGCTGAACGGGAGCAAAGCAGGAAGCAGCCGGTGTCTCCTGTTTCGTCCCTTCTTTGTTTTTTCATCGTTTCTTTTGGTTTCTGTCATCTTTGCCTGGCTGACAGAGCTCCATGCTTACGGGTGGAGCTTGCCCTTATGCAGGCGTCCTTGCAGAGCGGCGGTCACGGAAGTATTGGCTGGAAAGACACATACAGAGGAAGTAAATAAAGAAGTTAGGATTCAGATTGGGGAAATGATTACAGAGGGTGCATATGAAATGCACATGGTTTTCATTCAGTAAGTTGAATGTGAATTAATTATACTCAATACATATATTGTTCTAATAGAACGAATTATTTAAAGAAAAAAAAACTTTAAAGGCATAGGAAATAAACAAAAGAGATTTCCCTAAAACAATATTTTATAATATTACGTAGCTGTTAGTAATGAATTTAGGCTACGTCTACCTCTTTCTAAGGGTGTTCAGACAAATGAATGCCTTATCCCAGTCCACTAAGTAGTAGTAAGTGAGTAGAACCACCTAGTTGTTTGGCATCCTCTGGCCTTCTCATGTGAGACACCTGTGAGAGGGAAAGACTGCTTACCCTCGGTGGTTATAAACTGCGTTCGATCATGTCAGAGTACTAGCGTATTGAATGGACGTGAGAGCAACTTGCATCTCTGCTGCTTCTGTAGATTTAGTCGGGTGGCTAAATGGAGCATCTAGTTTCCCGAAGTGCGGTGCGCACCTCCCGAGAGAGCTGGCTGCGCGTATAACAGTTTGCAGGAGCGGGCCTGAAGTGGTCGCTGCTCGACGTTGGTTTTGTGGCGGAAGTTTTTAAAATGCCCTTTTTAGTTCTCACTTGAGAGAGATTTATTTCTGATTCTCAGGAGCTCCAGATGGATCAACAAGCTAAGAAACATCTCCAGGAGGAATTTGATGCTTCCTTAGAAGAAAAGGATCAACTTATTAGTGTCCTGCAAACTCAGGTAAAATATCTTACCCAAGAGATGTTCTTTAAAACCAGTCATTGTAATAATTAGGAATTTATTGATAAGTTATGATTACCTAGAAATTAAGTGTATCTTTGTGGTAGAGAAAGAAATTAAGTGTATCTTTGTGGTAGAGAATACCTTTGTAAGATCTCACTCTTGTTAAATACACTTTTTTTTTTGATGTGTGGTTTTGATACCTTTTTAATGCCTTTGTTATCAGGTAACATAAACATAAGCAGATGTTTGAGATAAAATTGCTTTGACAAAATGTATGGATTTTGCCTAACTGGTGCTTGTTGTTTCTCCACTCAGGATGCTAATTTTTATGTTAATTGAAAACATTATTCTGACTAAAAAATGCTAGAATACTCAAAGAGATGTTTCCTTTCTCTTCTTACCGATAGCAATTTTATTAATTATCTCTAGTTTTGAAGGTGAAAACATGATCTACTCAGGATCTTTGTATTTTTAATAAAAATAACATTTTGTTTAGGTATCGTTGCTGAAACAGAGGTTACAAAATGGCCAACTAGGCACTGAATTACCTGATCCAAATATCCAATCTGAACCACAAGTTCAAAGTCCAACAAAAGAAATCAGTGCAGAAAATGTTATGGAACCAGGAAGCAATGGTAGGTATTGAGGCTTTTTTAAAGAGATCCTGAATTTTAGGGAATAAGACTGCTGTTATTTATGGTGGACTAACAGTAACTAAGACTCAAGCTGTTACAGCAATGATGTATTTTTCTAGAAGGAGACAGTTTTTTCTGAAAACAGCGTGGAAGCTAAAAGCACAGGACAGCACTTCTAAGATGCTAAATTTCTATAAGAATTCAAATCTGGTACATCTTACCTTTCTAAGACCTGTCAACAATGCCAATATGATTGTAAGTATTGCTGTTGCCAGTAGGGGATTTTGCTGTCTCTGCTTGATAGTATTAGGAGGTTCTGTTTCCAAGTAAGCCATCTTGGGGTTCAGATGAGGTTCAGACAGAGGTGGGAACGGGCATCTTGAAATGATCTTTGTCCAGCATCTGTCGTGATATGAATTTTCATATGTTTGGAGAAGATGTGGGATTAGGTCAAAGATTTGTCTTAGTGTAATGTCTTTAACAGTGCTTAGGAAAAAAAAAAAAAAAAAAAAAAAAAAAAAAAAAAAAAAAAAAAAAAAAAAAAAAAAAAAAAGAAATAGTATCAAGTGCCCAGGAATCAGTGTTCTAGATGTTTCCAGTGCTAGAATCTGCATCTGGACTATAGCGTGCAAGAACTATGGTCATGAACTTAACCTCTGTGAGTATGTCTAATCCTGTTTTCATGCCATCTACTCTTAATGGACTACAGAGCACCAGGATAAAACACACAGTAAAATATTACCATATGCTAGTCCTACAGAGCAGAGCGTAGCTCAGAGAGGCAATAAATTTGACCTTTACCCTGCCATATGCAGTACTGCCAACCTGGATGCTTCTGAATTACGTCGTGCCCAGCCCTGGGAAAAGAGGAATCTGTTTGCTTGGCGCTTGAGAGATGTGATTTTGCTTTGCTTTGCATTTTTTTCCTGCCTGTGAATATTCTGTTAGTGGCAGCAGACGGGTTCATAAATCATGATAACTTTTCGATTGCATAGAAAACTTTGAATAATAGTTTGCTTTTGCAGCTTGTATCATAGTTGGGGTTTTGTAAATGCTGTGCCCTTTCAACAGTGCTTTTGTTGTCAAGGCCCTTGTAGTCTTGAGCCTTAGGTTTCGTTTTCTGCCAGCTTCTGGTTTATCAGGCCTTTCAAATTAGTTTTATGGATATTATTCTTTCAATGAACATTTTAAAATATGAAATAATTTTGTAAATGCTTGTGCTCAGTGAAATCCCAAGGATTTTTGGAAAGTTGTCTGGAAAAAAAGATTTTTCTGATGAATTGATTCATAGATGACTCGTGCTAACGTGTTCAACTTGGCACTTGCTACAGCTAATGAATTAGATTACATTTTTTGGTGGTAAAGAACTGACAGAGAAAAATGGAAATTTATTTGGGGTGAAAAGTTGTATTTGCCATTCTGTCTATGTATGTGCTTGTTTCTGGTTGGATCTGGTATGTGGTTCTAGTACTCAGTTGAAGTTTTGCGGACTTTGTGAGACTTCTTTAGAGGGCTAAGAGTCACCCGCATTCACATGGAGGGTATGACGGAGGATCTGCACTTTGAGACAGCTGCACATATGGTAATGTTGGTGTGTTGTCCATAGAGGGTAATGAAGATTCTGTTAAAACACTGGAAGTTCTTACTCAGAGGGTGAAGCGCCAAGAGAACCTGCTGCAACGTTGTAAAGAGATGATTCGGTCACACAAAGAGCGCTCTGCCCAGCTAACCAACGAGAAAGAGGCGCTTCAAGAACAGTTAGAAGAGAGACTTCAGGAACTAGAGAAAATGAAGGTATGGAAAATGATCTTTTTTGTGGGTAGCTACTAGTACAGCATAAGAATTCTGATCTTCACAGAATTTATTAATAGGGTGGATCATTAAACAAAGTATGGACTGTCACAAGAGACAACACTGCACTTTATTGGGCTTAAAGGTGCAAAAACCATCTGGAATAAACTCATTGCAAGTAAGAGAACAAATATGTAGAAAGTGGTGAAGAAGGGTAGGAAACCTTGCTGTATGAAAAACCTTAAAAAAGGATATCAGAAAGAAAGTAGCTTCAGGAAGTTGGGAAGTGTGAGGAAAAGACTGTCCTGGCACAGAAGACAGGAAGTAAAGAGAGAAAATACGAAACTTGAAAAACGAAGCAGAGTGAATCCTTTAAGACAGATAACGAAAGAGGCATCAGTTATCTAAATAAATGAAGACACAGAAGGACAGGGAAGTGGAGAACAGAGTGTAGGTAAAGATTAGGGTAAAGATTAAAGATAATGTAGGTGCAATTAATATTTATCTCAGTTTTCCTTTTAAGTCCGTTAATGCTGAGTGTGAAATAAAAATAAGGTAGCTGACACTGGAAATATGAAACATATGAAAAAATGTAGTCATCTCTAGTCCTGGGGGTAAGAATCTCTTCTCTGTCTTGGTCTCTGAGCATTAGTGCAGTTAAGAAGAGCTCAGGAAGACGCAAGTATTTTAAGAATTTTTTCTAGCCCAGGAACACTAATGAGCAGTTGCAATGTTTCATTGCAGAGCTGCCCTTGTAAGCCAAGATACAGGTAGTAGAGCAGATGACTTAAGCAGGATTATTGCCCATTTTACTGTAGCAGCGCTGAGATCCATGAGAGAACCTACAGAGGTTGTTATCATGCCTTCAGATGCCTGAATTATGATGGACGCTATGAGACAGCCTCACACCGGCAGATTTATAAGTAATTTAAAGCTGCCCGCTTTGATTTCCCTGGGCTTTATTCTGTGCTCTACGTCTGAGCCATAGTGCAGAACCTCATTCCTAGCCTGCTTCACATTTATAATGTAGTGCCAGTTATGTTGGTCTGTGCCAGTCTAGGAATAATTCTTTGTAAGATCCAAACCCAAGCTGCCTATCAGAGCCAGGTATTTCTTTACAGATGGCAGCACCTTAAACTCTTGTGCTTGGGGTCTTTTTTTTTTTTTTTAGGAGCTTCACATGGCTGAGAAGACTAAACTGATTACGCAGTTGCGTGATGCAAAGAATTTGATTGAGCAGCTAGAACAAGATAAGGTAAACAGGGAGGAATTTTTTCTTTAAAATTTATGTAGTTTTGGAAGAAGATTGGTAAAGGCTCAAAATACCTGACTTCCTGATACTAGAAACCATTCTTAGTCATCTAGTTTGTCTTGGTTACATTTCAAATTTAACAACCAAATCATTCAAGCTACCCAAGGATTTTATTGTATAGATACTTTAGGATATTTATCTGTTAGTTCATACTTAATACTACAAAAATATGTTATTTAGGACATGATTTTAGAAGGCATAGTGATTAGCAGAACAGCATAAATTTTTGATATGCGGTGGCATTGATGCAAGATAAAAAAATCTAATGAAGATAAGATATAATGTAAAATAATTAAAAAGTGACCAATGAAGTAGAAGTTGCTGTATTTGCTTAGGAATTTGAAGTGTATCTCATAATTTTTGTTCCTTACAGGTTTTACTATCACAGTCTTGGTACTTGGAGTACCTTCTGATGATGTAATGAGCACAACATGACTAATACCCATCCTATATGCCTTCTCTCTAAGGAGAAGGTGCACCCTGGAATGCTTTTAGTTTGTTTAAGAACACACATTTTAAGAGAAGTACCTGTGCTGGAAAGAGAAAGTTTTTGGTTGTTCCTAGCTCCTGGAAAAGGCATATCAACATTTTCTGTTTTCTAACGTAGAAAAGTACCAAGATTTCTGCTATTATAGTAATAGACTGAAGTTTATTCCTGGGAAGGATTGTATCCTGGCTTGAAATTGTTTTCGCTGTGTGTTTTATTTATTTATTAGCTTTTTACCATAAGGACCTTTTCCATAGGGCATGGTAATTGCAGAGACAAAGCGACAGATGCATGAAACGTTAGAAATGAAGGAGGAGGAGATTGCCCAGCTGCGTGCTCGGATCAAACAAATAACTACAAAAGGCGAGGAATTAAAAGAGCAGAAAGAAAAATCTGAAAAAGCTGGTAAGAAATTCTGGAGATTATTAGCTTTCACATTTGAACATGAAAAAGCTTCAGCATGCTCTTTTTGCACTCTTTCATCAGTTGTTGTTTGGAATGGATGTTAAAACATGCCCCTTTTTCCTAATGCTCTCCATATCACTCTTGCTAACATCATCACTAACTTCATTTCTGGTCAGCAGAGGTTGGAGAGATTTTTGGCTGTTTTGTGTAATACTCTTCAGTTATCAATTCAACAGGAATTGAAGAAAGAAAGTGCTAAAGGGCAGCTGTATCCTCCTATTTATAAGAGTGAAGATTCCTATGGTTTTATGCTTGTGTAATTTCATGAGGGAAACTCAAAGAGATGATTTTTTGTAATTTATCATCACAATATGATGTATTTTATATAGAGGGCATAGCAATGAGTTTATGAGAGCTTGGAAAAAAGTAGAAACAGGAGTTACTACTGTAGTAAGCATTTTCTTTCAATAATTGTAACAGCAGTATTTCTAATTTCTTTGTAGCCAATTTCATTGTTTTAGGCTTAGAACTGAGTGGTTATGTAACTATACACTGTAGTTTGCTCTTGCTAGAAATTAGAGAACATACTATTTATGTGTGCTTGCGGTTCTCGTTTGGCTTGAAACTAACTTAAAAGGCCAAACTTTTTTTTTTTTTTTTGTAACATAGTGAAAACTGTTTTGCACTACAGCTATCACAGTTCTTAGAGAAGCGTTTGGTTTTCTCTCATAAGTATTTATAAGGTGTTTACCTTTTTGGCAGAAGCTAAGATGTGGTTAGTTTATGTAGAACATACATTATGGCTATTATGTCTCTAAAAAGTGATGAGAAGTTCAAGCCATACGTTTCGTAGCAGCTCATTTTAAATCTATGTAAATTTAGGTCAGAACTTTGAATTTTAAAGATTAATGTGTCTGGGTAGAACACTTTGCTGTAACACAGAAAAGCAGGTTGAACATCCAAAATCAGCAAAAGAAACATAAAAATACACAAAGCAGTAAGTGGTCTGCTAGCAGACATTTGAAAAACTTATGAGAACAACAAACATTTTACATAGTTGCTCCTCTCCCCCACCCTTTCAGGTTGCACGTGTATTTTAGGCTTTGGAAATACAGATTTCAGAATCAACCTTTTGCTGAAGTTAGATTTTGTTCAGTTTTTGAGAGGCTAAAGAGCTTTTCTTTAAGATATTTTCCTGTTAAAAATTTCTCAAGAGTATTTTAAGACTTCTGTAGGTATGAAGTAATTATCATAGTTGTCTGAAACACAGAATTTGTTGAAGCAGTAGAAACCTCTAATTACGAACTACTATTTGCACACTTTAGTACAGTAATTTCCTCATGTTTGCATAGCCAGAGTCTGAAAATGGGTTAGCGATGATGCTCTGGAGAAATTAACTGTTATGCTGACAGGTAATCTTACCTGTGAATAACGTATTGAGCATACTGCACTTTGCAAAGGGGAGATTTGTGCATTCAGTATGTTTTCTCTTCTTATTATTAAGTATTTTGGGTAATTTTATGGTGCATAAGCATCTACTTCACCTTTTGAGTGCATTTATTCTTGTGCTCTGTTAAGCATGCAAATGAAATTTTGGAAACCACTGGAAAATTAGCTCCTACTATTTCTAAGATAGGCAAATTTATAGGGTGACCTTTACTAGTTTTTCCTGTTATTTCTTTGGCCTTATGCATACCAGAAAATTGTGACGTATACCTGAAATATAGCTTGAAACAGTTGAAATGAATTGTTCTGGCATTTGAGAAAGCTGCCGTTAACACCAGGATAGCCTGAAATTACTTCTGGGTCACAGCCTTTGCTTTTTACCAATTTTAAGAATCAGGCAGTTTTAGGTATTTGAGGTTTGTGTTTTTAAAATGGTGTTTCTTGGCTAGTTAATGTGGTAAGTTTTTTCACCACGTTATTGTTAATTTAGTGAATATCTTTAATTCTAGACTTACTTTTTTTTGCTATATTATAATTCAGTGAAGAGTTGCTCTATGGAATATTGTATTTGTAGAAATGTTGATTTTATTTAAATTATGGCAAAGATGAGGATAATATACTTAGTGTTTACTTTGTCATAATGCTGTATCATAGGTTAAAAACTGGTATATTTTGTTGCAGCTTCATATTTTTAATTTGCCTAGAGTTACAGGTCTGTTCGCTTTGGGGGGGGGTGAAGCATGCTAATGTTTGGTTTAATATAAGTAAGAATTGTGACGGTTTAATGTTAACGTCTTTTTGTGTAGTAAAATAGTGAAAAGATACATATGCTTGCTTTGTACATGTTGCATAAACTGTAACTTGGTCCCCCAAGCTGATGATGTCGCAGTTCAGTTTTTTGCAGTTAAAGGTACATTATATTGAAATCTCACAAAGCATCTTGTTTTTGTGCATCCACACATGCCAATAAGTGAATCATGGTGCCTTTCCCAAGCCTTGTATGAACAGGACTGGGGTAAGGGCTCGTCTTTCTTACATCACACATTGGGTGCTTGGACTGGGCTCTAAAAAGTAAATTCTGTGCTTCTCAGGCAATGGCAGTTCTTTTACTTGAAGTAACTGCAACTGTTTTTGTTGTTTTTTTAATGCTTCGCAATGTATGTGTACTGTTTACATTTCACTTCGACAAAACTAGTTATAATATTGGTAAATTTACTATTAAAGTGAAGTCTGCTGCCCTGAATGCTTGGCATAAGTCCTGTCCGACTTCTCAGGATATCGATTGCAGCTGTGTTTGTATTCTGTAAAGTAAAACAGAAAAAAGGCTTTAGAGAGCAAATTCACAGTGCTTTACCTTTGCCATTCTTTGTAGGTCGCGTTTCTTTTGCAAGCTTAATTTATGCTTTGCAACTTTCTGCAGAGAACAAAACCTCTCAAGCCTTGACTGCGTTTAAAAAACCTGCCTAGATGCGCAAAACAAACCACATGAAGCAAATTCGAACCTTTACTTCTCAAACTGCTTTTTGGCGAGATTCCTGCTCTCCGCTTTCAGGAGCGTGTCAAGCCCCCCTCTCCCCCACCGTGTGCCAGCCCTGCGCAGCGCTCTCTTCACAGTGTTCAGCAGCAGGCGGCACTAGAGTTGAAGATGCCCGTGCCTACGGCCCTGGTGAGGATGCTCATGCTCGCCAAGTCTTGGCCGCGCAGCCTGGCCTTCCCCCCGGGCCGCCGAGGCGTCCGAGGGAGCTGTGGCTGCTGTGATGCTTTTGCAGGCGTGCGTGGAGAGCGGGTCGGCTTCCCAGCACAGGTTTTATAAAAATCAGTTTTGCAACCCCGCGCTTCTTAAACTCTGACGCTCGGGCTCCTTAACGTTTAATTTTGTCTGCGGGAAGGTTTCCCGTTTGTCTGGTTTGGTCAGGTGAATGGGATTTTGTAAGACTTCCCTGAGGTTTTGTTAGAGTGCTTGTTATCCCTTCTGTTTTGTGGGCGCGCGTTTGGGAGATTTCACTTAATCGGTACTTCGGTTGAAGAGATCTTTTCTCAGCAGTAGGTGTGCTGGTGGGGTAAGGACACGGACAGCGTCTTTACTCTTCTGATTTAAATAAAACACAGACTTTTATTCCGGCCTTCCATCCACAGTAGAATTAAAAGCTTCCCTAGACACAAAATTTAGTCCATGTCCTGTCTACTGGAAAGGACGACAGCTTAACCCTCTGCCGGTTTGAAACTTGCTTGTGTCACGCCACGCTGGAATTAACTACTTTGAATAAAAACGTTGCGTCTTGCTTAAGTGCTAAAAGTGCCTGAGATGCATATAATTTAACTTTTGGAGAACGAAGTGTGTTTCTGTGGAGCGTTGCCGCTTTGCGCTGCTGTGCCCCCCGGCTGTTTGACCCTCCAGCTTCTGTGTCTGGCTTTTGTGCGAGTGTCCCGACCCTGCACGCGGCCCCAGCTCCTGCGCCTCAGTAGTCAGTCCTTCCGCTTGGATTTGCAGGCTGCTGCAAAGGCCTCGTCTTTCCGTTCTCGGCAGTAACGAGGTGCTGAAATGAGAACAGAGCGCGCGTTGCTCGGAAGAAGATTCAGACGCTGATGTGCATGGGAAAACGCAGAATATACTTTAAATCCTTTACTTGCGGGTTTTAAGTTTTGGATCTGTATCTGGTAAATGTTTTTTTTTGGGGGGGG